AGGGAAGTTTCTCCCCTTCTCCCAGACAAGGGGACAGTGGCTCAAGCAGTAGGATAGCCTGCAGGAGGAGGTCCAGGGGACACGCGCCAAGGAGAGGCCAGGGCGTGGCAGAGCTGCCCCCAGGTGAGCGGGCAGTGACCTTCACTCTCTGTCCCTGCAGCTTGGACGGTCTGATTCTGGAACCGTGGGCCCAGCGCCTCCCTGCGCCATGTTATCAGATGTCAGGACGAGCTGTTATATAAGCAAGGTTCTCCTTGAAGGCAGCTGCAGGTCTTTAAACCAGCTACCCTAAAGGAGTCTCAGATCTTCCAGTTATCTAGGTTACAGAAAACAAGGGGAGCCCCCCAGATTTCATTGTCAACATACTTTTCCTTTATTCTCCTTTGTCTGTAAAAAATCTTCATGGTCTGTATAAGGAACAAAGACAGCTGAATAGACAGGGAAAGCTGGACGGGGCCCACCCTGGGGCTGGTGGCTGAGTTTTGAGCGTCACGTGACAAGCCTTCAGTGAATGTTAGCTAAAATATAACTTTTATCATAATGATCACAGATAAGATTTTTTTCTTCAAGGAATGGCCAAAATCAAAGCATAGTAGCTGTGAGCCCAGAACAGAAACAAGATCAAGGATGAGGGCTGGTCAGTGGCGGGGCAGGAGTTCGGGTTTGGTGACTCGGGGTTCCTGTAACTCTTCAGTGACAGGCAAGAAAACACAGCGGGCTAAACACACCCCACCCCTTCAGAGGACCCAAGGGCCACCCTGCAGCGGAGCCAGTCCCCCCGCTGGCACCCGGACCCCACCCAGGCCTCCACCCGGAACGTCTTGGCTGCCATGACGAGGGGAGGAAGGTGAGAGGAGCAGTGTGGGGAGCAGATGTGTTAGGAAGCCCCTCCTGGGGGCTCGGGAGAGGAAACCGTGGTCAGATGGGACATCTGAGGTTGAAGCCGGTGGGAAGTGCAAGTTCCGGTAATGACCTGATTGAAGGTGTGACAGGGAGAGGCACAGCTGATGGACAGGGTCTGTCCAGGGAGCCAGTGTCCCCCCGCTGGCACTCGGACCCCACCCAGGCCTGTTTGGAGGGCCAGGCTTAGCGGGAGGGCAGCGGGCCCTGGGTCAGGGCCGGCACCAGCACTACAAAGCGCCCGAGGGGTTAGTTCCTGTGAACTTCAAGCAGAAGTTGGAGGAGAGGCCTGAGGTGGAAGGGACAGGGGGTGGGTGCGCTCCTGTGCAGGGTGGGCATCTGGCCCAGGTTTACCCTCCCCTTGAACACCTGTTGCTGGGGGCAGACTTAGCGGGAGCCGAGAACGGGGTCGCAGCACCGAGGTCGCTCCTGGCCCTCCGTTTCCCCCGTGCTGGAAGCTCTTGTCCTCAGTGGATGGAATTAAGATGCTCTGGGAGGGAGGCCCGAGTGGGGGTCCGAGTGCCAACGTGGGGGACGCTCTGGCTCCGCTGCAGGGGTGCCCTTGGGTCCTCTGAGGGGGTGGGGTGTGCTTGGTCTGCTGTGTTTTCTTGCCTGTTGTTAACGTTATAAGTTGTATTAATGAAGAGATTCTTAGTGCTTTTTCCCCTTTGCCATACGCTGGGGTTTTAGCTTTTCCTTGGGAAGTAGGACACGTCTTTGGTTAATAGACATTTGAGGTGCAGGAAATGAAACGCTGTGAAAGCAATTCAGATGGAACTGACAGGTATGAGAGTGGGGCTCAGCTGCACCCAGCTTCTTGACTTGATGACAGTCTCGCAATAAATAATCAGAAACCGGGAGAAATGATAGAACATGTCAGTTTAGAGTTTTCACTTGTCAAAACTAAGATTGTCTTATCGGCAAACCATTGCTGGGCCAAATTATGCTCTCTTTTATCCTCCCGCTCATTGGAAAACACCCCTCACCCCTGTTCTTTTATGCTGAATTGTGTTAGGGCGCTTCGTAGACAAACCCCCCGTCTGCACTCACGCTGATTACGGCTCCGCTCACTTAATAAGGAGCGTGGCTTGGTCAGAAGCCGCCACTCCCTGCCTCTGAGCCTTGGTCTCAGGACCTGCCACTTAGAGTTTCCAGTGAACAGTGGGCGCCTAAAGAAAGTTCTTTTCAGTTTTGTAAAGAGGTTACTTTCATTTTGTCTGAGCAATGGACATAAAATACTCAAGGCCCTCGAGGTTTCGTGTGTCTGAGCACCCCTGTGATGCGACTTCTGACTCGGGAGCGGAGGTGAGGCTCCCGTATTTAGCGCTAAGTTTCTACGAAGCACCAGCCAGGTTATGCTCAACAGATTCAAGTCGTCGTGACGACATGGGGCCGGATGCAGAGCCGTGGAGAAGGCAGCCCCGCACAGGCCGGCGGGGCACCAGGCCTGGCCCGGGGTGTGACAGCGCAGCAGGGGGCCCAGACAGACAGACAGACAGACAGCTCCGAGGTGCCCGCTCGGAGGCTCAAGTGCAGACTCGGCGTCCTGACCGAGACTTGATGTGACGTTTTCTCAAAACCGTTGTCTCTGAATTTCTGTCGTCACCATGAGAACATGTTCCACTGGAAGTGCCATTCGTGTTTCCAGGCACATTCCCGGCCGGGCGCCGGCTTCCCTTTGCAGCAGCTTGTTGCACTAGTCCTTTCAGTGTGAGTTTGCTCTGCCCCTGTCCCCGGAGTCCCTCTTCTTGCCTCCTCAAGGTCCGCGTGCGTCACGCCTGCCGAGGAGCCCAGGGCTCCAGAGCGGGAGGAGGGCCTTGAGTCCAGGGAGGGTGCAGGCGGGCTGGGTGCGCCCTGACCGCGTGGCCCTGTGTGCCTGCAGCCCGACTGCTGTCTCGAGCAGGAGGAGGGTCTCTGAGCCTGGGGGCAGCACGTTACACCTGGCGGCGGCAGCGGAGCATCAGGCGCAGAGAACCCCGGGAGTGCCCTGTGCGGGGACAGCTGCGAGCCGATGGGTCCCTGAGCTGCTTCTAAGTGCTTCCGCCCTGCACAGGGGCGCCGCCTCCCTCCGCCGCCTGGTCCGGAGAAGCCTGGAGATTTAATTTAGATCAGGGGTGCAGGCCCGGGAGAAGCGGCAGAGGCGCGGGGGCTGGGGCTGAGGAGCGCCAGCTGTCAGTTTGAAAACCTTTTTAGAACTCGGTCGTCCTTTAAACTCCTTGTGCGTCCTCGGGAAGACGTGAGCCCACCGCCGCCGCCGAGAGTGTCCGCTGGGCGGGCAGGAGGAGGGCAAGGCCTGCCCTGGGCCGCGGGGCTCAGCGCAGTGGGCCTCCCCCAGTGGGCTCCGGGCGGCTCCCTGTGTGTCCAGCGGAGAGCTCCAGGCCCCGCGGGGCACACCCTGTATTTCGTCAGCCGTGAGGATGTGGCCAAGTGGGGGGACTAGACCAGCCACTGTCTTGCACGTGGAGGCTGCACTTGACGCCGAGAGTGGCCTGCCCAGGCACTGTGGACGCCGTCAGAACTGCTGGTTCTTTGGCCTGTGTCCTGCCTCGCTGTCCCTCTGCCCTGGCTGCCCTGGTCACCCTAGCCTCTGGCCGGCCTTGGCTGCACCCTCCTCCCAGGCCTTGCTCCCTTCAGGAAGTGTCCTGGACATAGCAGTGATGGGGCAGCCCTGGTCCCCGCACCCCATCCTTCAGGTCATGTGGGGGGAGGGTCTGTGGGGGTCAGGAGTGGGGTGGTGAAAATACACTCCCCTGGGGAGCCACCCCACCCTGGGAGGCTAGGAAGGATCTCCAAGGAGGGGTGTTCAGGCTGAAGCCCAAGCCTGGGGGAGAGGTCAGAAGAGCCCCCCCTGGCAGCAGCGGCAGGTGTGCCCCTCACCCAGCCTGAGCAGGAAGGAGGACAGCTGGAGCCGCAGAGCTGCCGGTTGTCTCTGGTGCCATTTACCTGAGAAAGGGAAGGTGGACCATGCGTGGCTTCTGCAGTCTAGCCCCTGGGCTGTCCTGTCCCCTGAGGTTGTCCTGCTGGCGGAGCTTGTCTGGCCTGCCAGGTCCTCTCTGTGGGGGGGGGTACGGTGGCCCCTTTCCTTGAGGGGGGCCTGACAGCTGTGGGGGCCCTGGTGTCTGGGCCTGGGCTGTTCAGCCGCTGAGCTGGATCACTTTCCATTTTGATTAGAGCGTCTTACTTGATTGCATGAAGTTGGGATAATGAGAATGTTTCCTTCCAGGACAGTCCAAGCTGAGAGAATCAGGAGGACGGTTTCCCGACAAGGGACGCGGGGGTGGGGCAGGAAGCCTGGGCATGAGTGCCCCCCCGCCCCAGACACTCAGAAAGGCTGCTGTGGGCTCAGCGTATCTGCTTACAGTTTAGTCTAGACCTTTCACAAACGTGTCCCTGTGAAAATAGGCCTAATTCACATACGCCGTGTAGATGGAGGCTGGTTTCCTTTGGAGCAGAGTGGCCTGGCACCAGCCCCTGCCCGGGCCGTGTCAGGTGAGGGCAGACCCCGGCAGCCCCCGCCGCTCCTCCAGCTCTTGGTACTGGTGCTGCGTCCCGCCGGGCGGGGGTGATTCCTGACGGGGCCTCAATGGCACCGATGAGGTAGTGACCTCCCTCCTGTGACCGTGTTATGAAGTGGCGTGCCCGCTGCCACACAGCGCCGGACTTCCTGGCAGACAAGGGCCAAAGAGGAAATGAAATCCTGGCTCTGTACACGCTCCACGCATTGGGCGGAAGCTGTGGCCTCTCCTTCCCCGGCCTCAGTGCACTGCACGGCGCCGAGACTGCCTGCGCCCAGCCCTTCCCCGGGCTCGGTCCTCCAGGAAGGTGTGTCTCTGGGGCAGCTGCTGCCAGGCCCCTGGCCGTGGGGAAGCATCAGACGCCACTGTCCGTGTCAGCCTTGGGCCTAGGGCGCCTGGGGTGATGCTGAGGCCGCTGTGCCCCGTCCCCTCAGCAGGCCCTGCCGCCAGCGCCTGGCCCTCCCCTTCATTGGTTATTTTTCAGTTTTGAGCACTTTGCTGATTGTGATTTCAACTCCCAGCCACGTCATCTTGTCCTGACCGTGTCTTCCTCTTTCTGCTTTGCGTGTTGTTTGTCCGGCGCAGCGGTGCTGACTACTACGACTATGGACACGGGCTCAGCGACGAGGCCTACGATTCCTACGGTGAGTGGCCACGGCCAGGACGGGGGCGCAGCCGCGGGAGCCCCACCGGGGCCTTCACTGGAGGGAGAGTCATAAAGACACTTTGACCGTGAAACAGCATCTTCCTCTCGGCTCATCCGTGCACGCCTAGCTCAGTTAGAAGCCCCTTTAGGATTCCAGGTTAATATTTAAAGAGGACTAGAGACTGGCAGGAACGTGCATGAAATCAGGGTTGCACTTAGACTCTCTGTTTGGATGCATTGCCGTGCGTGTGCCCGTGATCTCGTGTGTGGAGTAGTTCTCCAGGGCCGGGTCCTGAGAGCGGGGTATCCTTTTTGCTCCCCACCAGTAGGGGAAACACCGCAATAGCCACCGAGCGCTAGGGGGACTCTCCCGCTGCCATCCTGGTATTTTAATTCACTTTCAGTCCCCAGTCCTCCAAAAACACTACAGTGGGAGCTGTTCCATGAAGTTCAGCAAAGCACTGAGCAGGGAGGAGAGAGCAGGCTTGCAGACCCCACTCCATGCGGCGGGGCTGGTGGAGACGCGGGGGTCTGTGTGTGCATCTCCATATGTAGGAAGACAGGCTGCCCTAGAAGTCTCCGCAGCGGCACCGTAACGGTGGCACGAAGTCTCTGCGCCGAAGGCAGGGACGTCAGAGCAGGCAGCTTCACCTGGCGGGCGGCTCTGACCATCACTGCGCCCACCGCCTGTTGAATCGGGGTCCTGGTTAATGGATGTTGCGACATTTCTGGAACATCACTGAAAAGCCATTTTCCAGTGTTCCTTTTGAAGTGTGTTTTGTTCTATCGCTTGCCCCAAGCCGTGATGACCGCACCTTGGACTTTTTTTTTTTGTTGTTTTTGCTATTTGTAGCGAACACTTAAGAGAAAAATACCTTGGTTTGCTGAATGCTGTCGACTTAAATGGATGCAAGTTAGCTTGAAGGGATGACGCTGATTGCATGTTTGTATCAAAAGAAGAGGTCATTTGAAGCATTTTTCCTTCACAGCTTTTTAAAATTGGTCTCTTGGACACACATGGCTTTGAAATTGCCCGCTGCTCAGCAAGGAAGTTAACTGTTTGCTGTCAGAGCTGTGGGGTTCGCGGTGGAAGCCCCGAGGTTGAATGGGTGGGGTTTAACTTTCGGAGCTAGAGTCGGAGACCCCTTGGGGTTCGCCACCGCCAGAGGGGGTTCAGCATCACCCTGAGTGGGAGCTGACGGAATCGGCCTGGGGGCTCCTGTGTTCTCAGGTGGTATTGGGGTCCCACCAGGCACAGCTTCCGAAGCTCCCCCAGGGCCTGGAGGCTGCATGGCCCCCTCCCTGGCGACCTGCCTGTCCCCACTCTGCTCTCCGGTGGCAGCTCCTTGTGCCTTCACGGATGTGTGTCTGTGTTTTCTTTGTTCTTGCTGGTAGAAGAAAGCCAAGTGCCCCTCCTGTGTCATGCCCTGCCCCCCTCACCATGTCCTCGCCTTCAGCAAAGGCGCTTCACTTGGCTCCTTGAGCTTGTGGGCATTTCTGAAGCCAGAGGCCAAAGAAACACCCTCGCCGGGTTGCAAGACGCACCGACCTGTTGTCTTTCCACACTAGCAGCTTCGGCTCCTCAGGCAGCCACTTCCCGTTGTGTTTCTAATTCTTTTCAAACAAATTCCCTGGGATTTTGTTTTTAATTTTTTTTTTTCAGTCCATCAGGGATACACGTCTGCAGCGTGACGTCCCCGTGGGTCAGAGCTGAGTGAGGTTTTGAAAGATGATGCCGCGGGCCCGCGCGGTGATCTAACTGTGACTCCTCTTCCCGGTTGCAGGGCAGGAGGACTGGACGAACTCCAGGCACAAGGCGCCCGCCTCCAGGACCTCGAAGGGCGTGTACAGAGACCAGCCCTATGGCAGATACTGATTGTCTGTCTGGTGTGCCATGCCCACCTCCACCCGTCCTGTATACTGTTCAAAGTAATTTTTTTCTATGAACAATCCCTTTTTAAATAAATCAAAATGCTTAAAATCTGAATGGATGGAACTTAAAACCACTTTGTTGAAACATCGAGCTGGGCAGACAAAAAAAGACATGTAAAATTTTGCTATTTCCCGTCTGTATCTGAAAAAATAGGTCATCAAAAGGAAAAAAAAATAACTTTGATTAACTAGTGTTAAACAAAAAAATAGGTTTACTAAATATGTTAATCCATCCTTTTAACATAAGCCTCACCTTTCATTTTAAAGGTTTCCATACACTCTAGTTATTTTATCTTTCAGCCATATGCTAGTTTTTTTTTTTTCCTCTTGCCAACCTGCGTAAAAAGGGAAGCCAAGTTCAAGTGCAAATAATGTGGTATTCTTTTGTAATCGAGTCTTGAAATGTTCTGTAGTGTTAAGCAAAGTCTCCTCTTGCTTGATACTAAATAAACTTTTGAAAGAAATTTCGTGTGTGTGAGCTAACAGTTTCATGTTTTTCTTATTTAAAAAGGCCTTTATAAATAGTTGTAAACAGGGAAAGGATTCATTTAACACCGCTTGTCATAAAAGGGTCACACTAAACACTGGACAACTTATTTAAAAAATGGTATAAACTTAAATGTTCCGTTCGACACACTCACCGTAGATTTAAATGCTGCTTAACGAGTCCAATGGGGATCCAGCTGCGTGAGAGGCGCGTTTTAAAACTCCGCAGGACCAAATCTTGTTTAAACACTGCTTTTAAAATAACTTCCTGATTTTCTGAAAAAGATGTGATCAGTTTTCATCTTGTTGAGCATTTCTTCACTAGTGCAACTTTGGAATTTTTATGAGAATTTTGGTTCCTTAATGAACACCTCGCTCCCTGCTGGAAGCAATAAGCACAAAGCTTTTAAAGACAGTCTGACTTGACTAATTGAGGTCGCACTCGCCAAGGCTGAGGATGTGCAACCCTTAAACGGTCTTCATTGTCAAAGGTAAATAAATCAAATAAGATTTTAATCTCACTTAATTTATCTTAATATAACTAATAAAACCAGGGAGATGCAACTTAGCACGTGTCATTATCCATTTTAGAAAGCTTTAAGATCACCTAAATTCTCATTTTAAAAAGTTTAATTTGTTTTAGTAATCTAAAAAGCCTTAGTCTAGTCAGTTTAATTGGGGCCAATTATTCCCTATTAAACAAATGTAAAACCTCATAACTAGTTGTTTGTAATACATTCTTGGGTTAGTAATTGAGGGCACTTCTTAAAACTTGACAAATAGTTAATAAAGTTATTCTTTAATCATTTGGCTTGCTGTTTTAAGTTGTAGATTATGGAAAATGTTTGATTTTTAGTTCTGAAGGGTTTCCTTCCCTTTGAATAAAAAGGTCTTTTCTTTTGTTAGGAAACGTCGGCCGTCTTGGAAAGTCAGTGGACGCGGCTAAGCCCGGAGCGCGCAGCGGTAAGGTCTTTTCCTCTTAACTATGGGGACGTGTCATGGACAAGGGAAAAAGTTTCCTGCTTACCCAGTCACGTGGGGAGTTCCCCAGGCCAGTTCCCGTGACCAGCGCTAGTTAGTGATTATGGAAAGTTACCTCCTCTGGTCAGAAGGAAGCTTCCAGGTTGGGAGCAAGTCAGACCCAGCCAGCTCCCTGCAAGCTGCAGAGACCAGACGCTCAGGATGGAGCCTCGGATGACTGTCTTGGCTATAACAGTCTGGTCAACAGCATGGAAACAGTCTCAGCGCTGTCACTGCTACGGCCTGAGTTCTCAGACCCCTAGCCAGGGAGCTGACCCACATGGCACAGCTGACCTGTCCTGTCTCCCCGCGGCCCCCCTCAGCAGCAGATTTCAGTCGATCTGCCTGGTCTGCTCCCCACTCTGTCTCCGGTGAGTCCTCTCACCCCACACACCTCTGGTCGATGCTCCAGTTTTTGTATGCATAAATAAATCTAAAAAAAAAAGAAAAAGAAAACATATTCCAAATTATAAAGGTTAAAAAAGCAGTTTACCAAAAAATGTCAGATGCCCAATTTTATCTTTTAAAAACCGTGTCCTCTGTCATTTCATAGACAGCCAGGCGCACAGCATGGCGGCCGTGTCTGCGCTGCAGGCCTCAGGGCCGTGTCACAGCTTTCTGTGTGCTGATCTCGAGTTCCTGGATTTGGAAAGACAAATTATTACTTTCATAGGATAAATATTACAAAGTATGTCTTGGGATATTTTGATAAGAGCCGAGGTGTAGAGGAAATCCCGTCAGTTGGTCTCACTTCCAGGTGCCTTGTCTTTTTTCTAAATCGCTAACGGTACATGGCCCTGACCTCCCTGAGTCTGACTTTCAGAAAGTGGGTGGCCTGGGCCTGGGCCTGCCCTCCCCATGGGGCCAGGGCAGCCCCCGACTTCTGACACCCCCACAGCAAGGGACGGGGTGATGTTTCCTTACCTCAGGCGGCCACGACGAGTTTGGTGAGGGGCAGGTAACCGGGAAGAGGGGAGCCATGAGCCGTCGCTGAACAGACAAAACTAGCCTGAAATAATTAAATTCTCTTTAGGAAGAAAATCATTCTCTTCACTCTCACAGACCAACATAAGTTTCATTTTTTTTTTTTTTTTTTTGGCTGCTTTTCTTGCAAAAGAAGGGAACGTGCCATGCAATAGCTTTTGTCCAATGTGTGATGTTACGTGGATGTTTTTCACTGTTTTCCTTTTTTTAGTCATTTTTTTAGGACTTGGCAGGGGTTTATTTATTGCCTAATCCGTGAAGCTTCATAAATAAGGAATCGGGCAGGTGCCTAGGCCACGCCCGGGGTCTCCCGAGCTGCCTCGCGGGAGTCTCAGTGGGTTTGTGTCACTTTTGTTTGGTTGAAGAACCTGTGGCTCCTCTGAACTGAGGGTGGGTGCTGAGCCCCGTGGTCAGGGTGGCCGGCGGCAGTTTTCCCGCGTGCCTTCAAGGGCTCCCCATCCGGCCCACACTTCACCAAGCCGCGTTTCTTCTGTTTGAACAGCAACACTCTGCTAAGACAAGCAATTGTCTCCTGTCCCGAGGAGCGCCCTGTGGGCTCCCCATCCTTCCCTAGCGTTTGTCTTCCCCTTGCAGCAAATCGTCCCGTTTAGCAACACGAGCCAGAGCTCGCTACAGCAGCGCAAAGGAGGCTCTGGGGATGCTGGAGCTGTAAGACGTGTCCCCTCCACTCCGGAGATTCAGATTCTTCGCTGGAAATACCCCGGCCAGCCACTTGCTGTCCCCTGCCCTTGGCCCATTGAGACCTTGTCCATCCTGCAGGATGGGTCCAGTGTCCTTTCTTTCATGACACCTTCACCAGTTTCCAGGCCGCGCTCCCTCGTGCGCTCCGAAACCACAGGTGTAGCCTATAGCTCTTCATTCTGGTGCTGGAATCATTTGACTGACATCGCTTACAAGCTGCTATTATGACCAGGCATGTGCTTATTACTTTCGTTAAATGATTTCACTGAAAGGAAGACACTTAAGCTTCAAGAGCTGAAATCACTCAGGCAGGCTACCTCGTAATTGGTGGAACCGAGCTTTGAAGCATCCACTTGAATCCAGCCTCCGTCTCGCCCGTGTCCCCTCCCGTGGGTTCTCTGGGCTAGAACGGTGCCCCCGCTAGATTGGAGACTTCTAGGGTCCCATGTCCCTGACATTCACTCCCATGGTACCAAGCAGGGTGGACGCGAGGATGGAGACCCATCCCTGCGCTGCCCCATGCCCCCTGGCCTGGGTCCCTTCCTGGAGACATTGCTTTTAGGTCCGGCTTTCCTTATTTTGAGGATATTCCAAAGTGAAGCTGTCATCAGTGGTCACTCAGACACACCGACCATCTGTCGAGCAAGCAGTGGGCAGGGGTGGTGGGCACAGTCCTGTCCTGGAAGGCGGCGCTGCTGGGGGGGGAGCAGGCGAGATGGGACTAGCAGGGGGGAGGCCGGGGCGTGTGGACGAGCACGTGTCCGTGGTGGTCAGCAGGAAAGGAGCCGGCAGAAGACGCGCTCCCGGGGCCGTGTTCTCGGAAGCCTTTGTACCCCGGCTCTACCCTCCCCAGCCTGTGGCCCGGGGCAGGTTCCTTGACCTCTCTCAGCTGGTTTCCCATCCTCAGTATCTTTATGAGGATTAGAAGCATGTCAGGCATAAGCACAGGCATGTGCTTTGTTAGGATTCTTATTTACATTAACACTGCAAGTTATTAAGAGAACACGATCACCTCAGGGGATCGAGGTGATTCATCTGTTGTATTGGATAATTCGAGAACGCAGAGCTGAGCTGTCTGGACACACAAGGGTCTGCAGGTCCTGCAAGAGCGTGAGCGCAGGGGGACCACTAGAGAGGTGGGTCCTGCCCCTCCCTCGGCAGCGAGCTCCCTGGTCGGCATGTTCTGCAGAGAACTTCCTAGAGCCGCTGCCGCCACTGGCCATGGAGCTGATCACATGGCACCCACGACCCCCCACTTCCCAGCCTCCTGTCCCTTAGCAAGGGGTTTGCAGAATAAGGGTTAGCAAGGCAAGGGCACGGAGAGGGGCCTTGTCGAGGTGCATGAGGTGGTCGCTGGCAGCGGCCTGGGGCCCGCGGGGGACTTAGCAGGCACCAGAGCAGAGAAGCTAGTCCCACATTGGCAGGATGCATTTCAGAAGGTTCCACTCAAAGTGAGTCAGGAATTCTGGCCCCAGATTTAAAACTGATGATTTAGAGGACAAATTTAAATGTGGTCAACTATCTAATTAACCAAACTCTGAGCCACTTTCTATGTTGTAAGTGATGAATAGAAATTATAAAGTTTTGCTGTTTTCTGTACAAATGCAATCATTTATATGGATGTTCAGTGTCTTGGGGAAGTAGAGGGGAAATCCATCCTCACATTTAAAATAACCAAGTCTACTTTATGCTTGATTCAGTTCCCACCTTTGAAAAAGGTTTTAGAAACATTTTAAAATCTGAATTTCATCCTCTTATCTAAGGGGAAAATCCTGCCCTATTGGAGTTGACTCTGAACGGGATTCTTATTTCAAGCAGCTCAGTTATCTCTGCGAGTGATTAGCACCCATGGCCAAAACGGTTCTTCAGATCTTAGTGCAACGCTGAGGCCCCACTGGCTCCCGTGGTG